TGTCCAACACCAATCCACAAAGTCCTCCTCCATCTCACAAAATACTCGCAATGAAGCCGACTATAGGAGGAAAGCCGAATCTGTGAACATGAAAGCATCTCAACGCTGGCAGGGTCTCTACAGGGCTGCTTCAGCACCCAGGGCTGCATGGGGGTAGGTCCATGCTGTGTCTCCTCGGGGATGGCTTGCAGGAAGTGAGCCTTGTAAGCTGAAGCAGGGAACTGGCTAAGGCAGCTGCACCCTGGTCCGACCATCAGAAAGCCAGAGACCCGAGAACTCAAAAGGCAAGGTTCACTGAGCCATTTATCTCTCTGCCCTTCAATTTACCCCGCATGTGTTTAACGGCCAGGTTGGCACAATAAACTTTAACTCAATGGTGTATGTTTATATTAAATATTTAAACATCCTATATATTCGAGTATAAGCCGACCTGAATATCAGCTGAGGCACCTAATTTTGCCACAAAAAAAGCATTAAAATGCATTGAAAAACTTACCTTATACACTAATATATACAGTAATCATATGATGGGGGACAAGTAGAATTAGGATAATGTGGGCAATAGCAGATAGAAAATAACTAAATTTGCACCATTTAAATTATTTGGTTTATAGTATGTACCCAAATCTTTTGCACAGAATTATATCAAGTTCTTTCAAATAAGCATAGCTTCAGTTACGGCAAACATCACAGAAACACCACGGATATTATGCTTTGAAATTCTTCAAACTTTTGTGGTTTGATCATCTAGAATTGCATATTTTAGAGACTTAGTTTCACTATGTACTTACATTTTATTTTAGAATTGCTCTAAAACTATAAGATGAACTTGTTATTTTTTTAACTTACTATTTTTATCTCTGTCTTTTTAGACCTTTGTAGTTGCTTATTTAGTTTTTGCTTTTACTTTCTCTGATTGTTATGGTTTCTATCCCTCTGTCCAAGGTCTATGTATTACATCTAAAAAAGGCATCAATTAAATAACAAAAATGCTACTGAAATCTGTAGAAAAGTTAATTCTTTGTGTATATGTCCATATTTTACCCCTATCAATTTCCAAATAACCCTAGACTATAACAGTTATCAGACATGGGATAAGCATATATTATTGTTATTGCCTTGTCATTTGGTCTCTATATTGAAAAGCAAAGCCACATAAATGTATGTATATAAGATGTTTTTTTCTTGAATAAGAGAGAGGAGTTTGTGTTGGCTGCTAACAGCAAGGTCAGCAGTTCAAAAGCAGTGGCCACTCTGTGGGAGAGAGATGAGGCTATCCACTCCTATAAAGAGTTGCAGTTTTATTTCACGGGAGCTTTTCTACCCTGTCCTAAAAGGTCACTATGAGTTGTCATCGACTCCATGACAATGAGTTTGGTGTCTGGAAATAATAAAGTAAGTGAAAATGTACAAGGATTCAAGTTCATACATGGCAGAATTTATTCCAAACATGTTTTAACATGTCTGTGCAATGAGTGCTTGTCTATGAGCTAGTTCTCACAATTATCCTTATTTCAGTCTCACTAGGATGGCTTTCAAAAAGATCCAACAAAACATAAAAAGAGGCTTTCCAGTAGATTTGCCGGGCCAATTAAATTAAAGGTAGAGAGGTCAACTTAGAAGATTATGGCAACTTTTATTTTAGTATTCCCCAAGTGTAATCTTGATAGATATTCTTGAAGGACAGGGATAACAATGGGGGTCTCTTTAGGAAGAAGTTTTTAAAGAAAAGTTTAAACCGCATTGATGAGAAAAAGGCCAGGCAAATTATGCAGAGGATTTTTTTTCCCCCATCAAGATAATGAACCTGCTTATTGTTTGAGGTTGGCACGAGCGGTCCTACCAGTTTCACTGGGAAACCTTAGCCCATTTGCTGATTCTACTTCTCCAGATTTGGTTTTATTTCCCAAACTCAAAGGACTTTGAAAAAGAACATGATTTGGGGTTCTTGGGGTATGCCAAAACTACCATTTTAAGTGGTGTGAATCAAAGCACATACAATTCTACATGGGAGTGTTCGATGGAAACACCTTCAACAGTATATAGACCTAGAAGGACAATATGTAGAGAAAAAACACCTTCACAGATTGATATCTTTGTTTAAGGAAAGTTTCTATCATTTGTAGCAATACTTTCTGACTTCCTCATATATGTATACACAGCAGCTTAATTTCTCTAGAGAAAACCCTTTGAATTTCAAAGGCAAAAATTAATTCTTGTGTAACTTATGGAGACTGTGATTATTTAAATATGTAACCTTATGTTTTGAAAGAGATAGTTGGATTTCCTGGACATAGGTGAAAACACTGAATTAAATGCATTATGGGATATTTATGGTACCACATGAAAACTCTATAGGTTCACAAAGTTTTGTTCAATGATGCATTCTTAATACCTAAAACAGTGCCTGACATCTACATGCTTAATAAGTTATTTGCTTAATAAGTGACTAAATCTTGAATTAATTTCCTCTAAGCCATGTACTAACTACTGAAAATCTTACTTGCAGGTATGAAATAATTTATATTTGCTTAAGATCTAGAAATTGTATTATCTTTTCCTGAATTGTTAATTTTTTAACTTGAATAATTTTTAAGCAATAAAACACCTCTTAAAATGATTTATTTGGCATTATTAAAGATAGACTAAAAAAGTTTTAGAATGGAATTGGAAAAGGGGGACTGTTGGCAATGAGGTCACTTTTTAATTCTTCACATTTAATTTGAATTTAAAATTAATCTTTAATTCTTTATCTTATGTAAAGATATTGCAATATGCATGCAATATTTTAAAAAACGATGTATTCAAGTTGTAATAATGTGTGATACAAAAGAGTAAGATAGGAATAGAATGGTAGTTACTTTGTTTTTATTTTTGCTTATGTTTGCATGGTTTTAAAATCACACAATAGACATTGCATTTTTCAGTATGTCCTAGATGCACACTGTATAAGAGACACATATATGTATTTATAGTCAGCATTCATAAATTATTTTTATTCTCATATTCATTAAGGAGTATCTGGACAGTAATTCACAAGAGACTGAGTCTTGTGAAGCTTTCATTATTACACACAATCTCAGTGCTCATCATTTAGCAGGTGATGCTAAAAATATAATACCACAGACAATAGCTCTTTGTGTTGTTTACTAGATAATGTTTTCAAAATTAGTACTGCTTAATATTATACCTATAATGTTTGAGAAATGTCACCAACTGGTCAATCAAGATTTGGATTTGTAATATCTGTTTCTAAGATTCTGTAATAAGTAATTTATAAAAATGGGATTTAAAATTTTTACCTAGATCATTCTTGTGTCTAGTCATCATCTAATCAACGTTAGTTTTTGCAACAAATGCATTGATCTTATGCTGATTGAAAATAGAAAGCTTCCATTAAAAAAATGTGTCTTCCCACTCATGCATGTAGGTGGTACAAGTAAATGCTTAAGTGGTGGCACTTCTAAAACATCCTGGAATATGTTTGGTGATCGGTTTCACAAAAGGTTAAATACTTTCAAACCCTATGGAGCAGTGCTAATATGCACATGTGGACTTGCCATGAGTCAAAGTCAACTGGACATCAACTATCGACACCTGTGTGCATAAATATTTTTTAAAAAATCAGATATTCAGTTATGCAGACAATTCATTGATGCATTATTAAAATGAGAGCAAGATACCCATATCAAGTTATTTACATCATGATATGTCTCTATGATTTTAAAACCATTACTAAAACTCTGATAACATTATTGATTATGAATAAATATTGAGAACTTCCTTAATTAGATACCTACATGCACTAATACTTTTCTACAATGGATTTTTAAATGACCATATGGTAATTTATCTTCTACAATGTCTGAGCGCCCACATCAACCACTATTTAATCATAAAAATAAAACATCTGGTAGAGTTTAGTGTAGCATGATACAAATGTCCTTTTTTGTGTTTATGTAGTGTATTACCTACAATTAATCCAAAAGCACATTAAAATGTTTCATGATACTGGAATTAAACATATTTAACATATGAAATTGAGAAATGTTTTGAAAATTATAAGGCAATCAAATTTCATTATTTTAACACAATAATTAGAAACAAATAATTTGGGAGATTTTCAGTGAGTGAAAAATAATAAATGGTAGGAAAAGGTCTGTGAAGATTGTTTGGTTTTTTCTTGACTCACAATTTCATAGTGTTTTAAAATGTGCTTTATGTTTTTAAACATTCTAAGACGTCTTTTGTGGTTGTTAATTTCTATGCCAATTCAAATATGTGAAATTCATGTTTATGTGGTCTACATTTTGCAACGCGCTAAGGATCAATTTTCAGATTTGGGATTTCTTCTAGTCCAACTCTTTCACTGAATATGTGGATGCCCTTTACCTAATTTGAAATATATGGACGTAAACTGGTGGCCCAGCTGCTACTGAAATACCCATACATTTCACCACCTTCTTAAAACTTAAATTTTTGTTTGTTTGCTTGTTTCCAGATTGATCTAATAGGCAGTTCTTTTATAAAAATTTAAAAATTTTAGTAAAACAATTTTTTAGGCAATTCTTTATGTTGATATGAGAGTTGTTAGTTGATGTCAAGATGGTGCTAACTCCTAGCGACCCTACTAAAACCAGAACAAGGATGGGGCTTTCTACTCCCCTAAAGTGTTAAAGTCTTAGACACTCACAAAGGCAGTTCTACCCTGTCCTATAGTGTCACTATGGGTTTGCGTCAACTCAATAGCAGTGAGATGTATGTCTTTAATAGTACATACGTTTAAAATTTAAACCGTAGATATAATCTGTAAAGATGCATAATATTAGGTTCAACACATATTTATCATGAGTCTTTTTGTTGTGGTAATATTCTTATGTCATATAATGAATTTTCATTTAAAGCTGAGCATTTTGTTGACATGCATTTTTATAGTTGATTTCTTAATTTTTATTTGGCTTCTCTTCTTTCTTTCTTTCCCCCCCTTTTCTCTTTGTTAGTTTTCTGTGGATTGATACAGCGAACCATCACAATTGTGCCTGGTATGGACTTGTTGTCCGGGACGTATATTTTTGCGGTCCTGTTAGCATGCGTCGTGTTTCAGTCTGGCGCCCAGGAGAAGAACTACACTGTCCGAGAAGAAATGCCAGAAAACGTCTTGATAGGCGACTTGCTGAAAGACCTTAACTTGTCCCTGATTCCACATAAGTCCTTGACATCTCCTATGCAGTTCAAGTTAGTGTACAAGACTGGGGAGGTGCCACTGATTCGCATTGAAGAGGATACTGGTGAGATCTTCACTACCGGTGCGCGTATGGATCGTGAAAAGTTATGTGCTGGTATCTTGGTGGAAGCCCGTTGTTTTTACGAAGTGGAGGTTGCCGTTTTGCCGGATGAAATATTTAGACTGGTTAAGATACGTTTTTTGATAGAAGACATCAATGATAATGCACCATTATTCCCAGCAACCGTTATCAACATATCAATTCCGGAGAACTCTGCTATAAACTCTCGATATGCTCTTCCAGCAGCCATTGATCCTGACATAGGAATAAACGGAGTTCAAAACTACCAACTAATTAAGGTGAGTTTTTAAAAAAATCTCTCTTTATTTAAGCCATCTAATTTTTTAAGGAGAAAAGAAAATAGAAAGAAAAGAGGAGCATCTCTAAATGTACTTGAAGTACTGTGAGTAAACCACCCCAATTTTTCTAAGTTTCATAAAACCTCAATGGAGAAATTTGATCAATCCAATGTTTGCAATTGAGTAAGGTTTATAAATATTTATTTTACATAGCAGTAATTTTCCCACAGTTGTTTGCATTTCTCTTAATGTTTAATTGTTAGAGTCAAATAAATCGTTCTGCTCTACCACTTAAAAATCAATCTCTTGTTTAATATCATAGTCTTAATGTGCCTAGTCTTTATTCTGCCACTAACTTGACCGAATTCAAGCAAATCTAAATGTTTAGACTGAGTTCTCAAACTTGTGTATGACTTTTTCTAAGTGGTTATTTCTTTGAAGGAATAAATGGAACTAGCATTTTTAGTGGTGTTTCTACACATATATGATATTTATATGATATACTGGTATATGGTATTTTTACACATATATGATATAATGGTATTTATCATGATCACCACAAGCCAAGGTAAGATCTTTGTTTTCTAAAACATCAAAATGAAATCATGTCTTAGCCAATTTGCAATTAATGCTAAATAAGGTCACTTTGGTGAAATTCGTTGAACAATTATAATTAACTATAAATCGTAAATAATCTCTAGCTAAAAAAATAGTGAATTTGATTTGGATCTTGGGGTGGGGAAGGCAGAGGATCAGATAGGTGGAATATGTGCTATTCTTTAAAATGTGGGCAAGTGGTCATTTTTTTTTCACATGAATGTGTGAGTCTTCTTAATGACCAACTTGGCACGTAGAGTAATAAGAAATTCAGATTTGGACACAAGCTATGTTTACAATGCACTTAAATGACCTTGGAAAATACATAGTAAAACAAATATACAGGTTTAATATACTTATCATCATGTAGCTTTTCATACTGGTATAGTACCAGAGTATGATTGACATAATGGCCAAGGTTAAAAGTATATTTGAATAACATCTAAATTAATTGTCTGGAATATGTCAGCTAAATGTTTTGACATGGAGGGTGTAATATTGTAAAATTCTCTACCGATGCATATGTTATGAAGATACATTTGTTTATAAATACTTTCAGAGTCAGAAAATCATCTATAAAAGTGAATTTACATGAAGTATAGCTTTTTTGTGTGAGTATAAGAAGTAGAAACAGAAAGACAATTAATATTTGGCTCAAAAATGAGCAATTTATTTAGTCTGTGCATTGATACAACTTTATTTGATGAAATGGGAAAATATGCAGGGATCTGATAAGGTGCTCAGGTTTATGTTTAGTACTGAATAGACATACCAGGACCAATTATCATTTGGACATTTAGTGTCTTCTATCATAAAGTGGGGGTGATTATATAGATACAAGAGGAGTTGAATTGGAAAGACTAGGCACTATGAGTAAGTGAGTGGCATTGCTGCTTCCTTGGTAGAATTCTCACTTTCCATGTGGGAGAACCAGTTTGGATTCCCAGTCAGGGCACTTCATGCATTTGGCATATTTCTTGTCAGTGGAGGCTTGTGTGTTGCTATGGCATTCGACAGATTTCAGTGGAGTTTCCAGATTACAGTGTAATAAAAAGAAATTTAAAAAAGAGCCCTAGTGGCCTGGTGGCATGACTACGCATTTGGCTGCTAACCACAAGGCCAGCAGTTTGAAACCACAAGCCACTCCATGGGGGAAAAGTAGACTTCTACACTTATAATTGGAAATCCATAGGGGCAGTTCTATTCTGCTCTACAGGATCGATATGAGTTTCAATCAACTCGATGGCAGTGAGTGTGGTGAGACATATTTTGAAAATCAGCCAGTGAACCCCTTTGAATTATAACAATCAGATCCACAGCCCAGCATGGGCATGGTGCAGGATTGAACAGTATTTTGTTTCATTGTGCATGGGGTTACTATGAAATAGGAGCCAACTAGGTTTAGCTAATAACAATAATGTAGATATATTGACACTGAACATTTTGGAGATGATTTAAACCATTTGACTGTAGAAATGTAAATGGAAAGAAAAGCTTATTTCTTTTAATAGTAAATTGTATAGGAGAGGGTGTGATACCAAAGTTCTATCCATTAGAATGTAGTGTAATATTCAAAGTTCTATAATGTGTGGTAGGAAATTCAATAGTTATTCCTCACATGTAGCTTTAGAACCCTTGGAATGTGGGTAGTACTACCAATGAGCTAAAATTTGAATTTATTATTAATAACTACATGTGCCTTGCTGTGTGCCTTCACATAGTGATAGTCAGATATGACAGAAAAGAACTGTACCTACAGATTTACTAGGCAATGATCTTTATGGCAGCAGTTCTCTAGTGGGTCTCTGATGGTTGTAGGTTCCAACCTCCAATCTTTCAGTTAGCAGTTGTGTGTGTAACCATTGCACTGCTAGAGTTTCTACACATGTTACTCCTGCCACTTCTAAGATAGCATAACCAAAAGAAAGAAAAGTAGGTTCTTTAGAAAATTAAAAATTGAAAGGTAAAATAAAAATGTGATCTACCAAATTTAAATCAGGCAAGAGGATCTCCCAACCACTTTGACAAGCGTGTTTTTTTAAATACTTTTATTGGGGGCTCTTACATCTTTTAAAATGTGGTGGGTTACTCAATCACTTATTTTGTTGCTTTTCCCTCAAGGAGAATAAATGTCTTAAAAATTCTAGTGGTTTCAAATCTTACAATTCTGCTAAAACAATTAAACTTGCAGACGCAATTTCAGCATTGTTAAAACATGTATGTTTTCATTTAACTTTCTTTGAAAGATTGTCAGCAAATGACAAAACGATAGAGTAAATAGAAGTCTTTAGATGAATTTTAGGGATAAAAATGCTTTAAAATGCTTTTGTGGTTTTGAATGTGTACTAAATCTGTAATGAAAAGTGGGATGTACCTAAAAGTAAAGGGACATTTATAGGATCATGGAAAAAAACTCTCCTGACTGCTTGTAAAAATAATTATAAAGGGCTCCTGAGGGAGGGGTCGGGAGGGAGGGGAAAAAATGAGGACCAGATGCCAGGGACTTAAGTGGAGAGCAAATGTTTTGAGAATGATGAGAGCAGTGAATGTACAAATGTGCTTTACACAATTGATGTATGTATGGACTGTGATGAGTTGTATGAGCCCCTAATAAAACGATTAAAAAAATAATGAAAATGGAACACAAAGTGTTGCCGTAGAAATGCAAAGCACTATGACACAAATCATATTAACTGCATGTACTTTAGACATAACGAAAAGGTTCTTTCCGTGCACATGGTCCTGTCTAGGTGGACTTGTATGGTAGAACTGGGGTCATGATAGTGGGTGGGCGGGTGGGGGGAGCATTAAAGAACTAGAGGAATGTTGTGTGTTTCATTGGTTCTATACTGAACTCTGGCTGACTCATCCCTTCCTTATGACCCTTGTGTGAGGGGATGTGCAACTGTCTACAGATTGGCTTTGGGTCTCCAATCCGACCCCCATCGTTTGCATCAATATAATTGTTTGTTTTGGGTTTTCTGATGCCTGATTCCTGATCCTGTTGACATCTCGTGATCACACAGGCTAGTATGCTTCTTCCATGTGGGCTTTGTTGCTTACCTACTAGATGGCTGTTTGTTTAACTTCAAACCTTTAAGATCCCAGGTGCTATATCTTTTAATAGCTGGGCATCATGAACTTTCTTCACCACATTTGCTAATGCACCCATACTGTCTTCTGTGAACTTGTCCGGAGGGTGAGCATTACAGAATGCCAGGAACAAAGTGTTGTTGCATTGAGGGAGTACTTGAGTAGAGAGGGGCCCAATGTCTGTCTGCTTCCTAATACTTAACATATGCACATAGACCTGTATCACGATCATTATATATATTAATATATTTATGTATGTTCAAGCCCATATTTATACCTCTATAAATACATGTCTTTTGCCTCCTTATCCCTTCTTTTGTTTCCTGTTACTTTCCTCCTAAGAGCTCTCAACACACAGAATTGAGGACGGAAACCTCTGGGAACAGCAATGGTGGGAGTAGTGATACCATCAGGGTAAGGGGAAAGTGGGGGGAACCAGGTGACAGGAGCAAGGGGCAACCGATCACAATGATTGATGTGTAAGTCCCCCCTCAAGGGGGATGAACAACAGAAATGTGCATGAAGGAAGACAGCTGACGGTGTAAGATATGAAGAAAATGATAATTTATCAAGGGTTCATGCAGGTTGGAGGTGGGGGAGGGAGGAATAAAAAGAGGAGCTGATACCAAGGGTTCCAGTAGAGAGAACATGTTTTAAAAATGATGATGGCAACATATGAACAAATGTGCTTGATACAATTGATGTATGGATTGTATGGATTGTTATAAGAGCTGTAAGAGTCCCCCCAAAAAAAGTTCTGCCATGAAAGTGATCTGTATTCTAGGGGAATGGAGTTTGAAAATAAAGAAAGAAATGAAACATGTCATGATTTTTCCATAATCTTAAGTAATTAAAAATTTACATGTAAGTAGACCATCCACAATAATTTCTTTTTTTTAAATTTCTTTTAAAGATACTTTGTCCAGCACTATAGGATGACCATTTAATTAATATCAATCTGCTCTCCTTTTTTGAATAGACAAGGATAGAAAAGTTGCATAGTAATTTTATTCTAATTGAGATAATATAATATGTATGTGAAAAGTTCAGATAGCAAATGAAGATAAGGGGGAAATATAAAGAAATGTTTTAGGGAAATCAGGTTAGTTTATAGACAAATAAGGGGTCTTACTACCATAATTACCTGAAAATAAAGGGAGTGGTTGAAAAAATTTACTAAAAGTTTCCAAAGTGTATTTAATACAAAGTAGCATGAGATCCACAATTTACTTCTACAACTTTGACTAATATCACAGTTTTTAATTGTGTATGTAAATTTTAGCATTTTTTGTCATATGGCAGGAAAATAT